TAATACATATAACCTATGTATTATAAGTACCATATTGCGAATACATTCCTATTGGTACGACACAGTACCAGCTCCCTCATATGTCAAACTGAGATCAGATTTCATAATCGTTCCTGGATTGGTCGAGTAGCTGCCGAATCTTCTAGTTTCTCATAAATTTATTTTAGTAATCCAATCAAGGACCCTGTCATTGAATGGATAAACTATAATGCTCTAGATGTGCCGGATATGGGTCAACTAGCTCCTTGTATATAACAATAAGCTATGTTTCATATGTAACTGATTTCTAAATCTAATTCTACCATTTCCCAGTTTGCGGGTAAATAGTCAATTCGATCTGCGCAGGAAAAATCTTGAAGTAATAATTGAATATAAAAAGGACCTCTATTTTTATCATAACAAACTCTCCAACTTATAATAAAGGATTAAAGAGTCTCATTTCTTTACTTGTTTATTTTTATCTTTTATTTTCTACCTTTTTATACTCAAATTATCACAGTTTGGTTAGTGTTATATCAACTGGGCCCGTCAATAGTAAGTGGCAAAGGATATTATGAATGTAAGTGTGCCCTTTCAAACTGGAGCTGATATGTACATAAATTATTTTTAAAGTAAAATACAAAATAAACATTGAATAAAATAAAAACGTTTTCATTTAAATCCTGCTTCTTTATTATATAATTTATTTTTTGATTGCACAAATGTATAAGGTCCATCAGCATCAATAGTATTATAATTAAAAGTGATGTACTACGTTTTGACTAAAAGGACGCTATATTGTGGTAAAAAGACGCAACATGTGGATTTAAGTAGCTACCAGAAGTGGTATAATTACGCAACATGCGGAAAAAAACCGCAACATTAAGTGGTATAAACACGCAACATGCGGAAAAAACCCGCAACATTAGGTGGTAAAAACCCGCAACATGTAGCAAAAACCCGCAACATTTGGTGGTATAATTTTGGAGTTTTACCACATCCGGTGGTAAATGAGCAACAATTCCGCAACATTCGGTGGTATAAAATGGACGTTTTTACCACCAAATGTTGCGGGTTTTTACCACATGTTGCGGGTTTTTACCACATAGTCCGCCACTGTGTAATCTTATACCGGAATCTGCCTTTCTCTTCCCAAATCTTTCAACCTTCAAACCTTCAGTGCTCTTTTCTGCTTTCGAAAAAATATACTACGAAAATACAGACTTGTTAATTTTACAAAATACTAAATTAATTTACTGACACTTCTTACCTTTGCCGTCATAATTTTGGAAGCTCTTTGATTACTTCTTGAGACGGCAAAGTCTTTTCTCATACTCGAAAGCCGGAACAAATTCTTCTTTCTTCCAGGTGTTCTAACTTCCTCAGACAAAGGAAGGGACATTTCCTTGACATATATGTCATCCCCACTTGTTATGTCCTCCAACTCGGCAGTTGTTCTTCTAACCAAGTCAGAAAGCTTCTCCACCTGCTGGTCGGTGCAGCAATCTCTAAACTTGCTTTCAAGTTTTTTGAGAAGCACCATCCATTCCAAAGGTGCTTCTTTTTCTTCGGATTCACCATCCAAACATCCGGCGTCTACTGCATTCTTGGAAGGTATAATCCAACGTTTGTCAAACATGCTTGGAGTGAGAGTACCATTTTTCAGACACTCCTTGATAGTGTGAGGGCAAGGTAGGCCGAAAAAAAGTTTTGTGGTACAAGCACAGGTCAAACTGAGATCGGAAATCTCCAAAGCGTTCAATGATTCATGGACCGTTAAAAGAGCCCTCTTAAACACTTTTCCTTGTAAGTTGGAAAGGTGTTTGTTCTCTTGCATCAAAATATCAACCTTGAATTTTTCCAAGTTCTCCAAACGTTCAAGGTTTTCGAGTTGTGACACGAGGTAATTGTCAAGCAACTCAAACGACTTTTCAATGGATTGAAGCCCGACAAATCCATCTTTTAAGGCTCTATGCCCACTTTCGACTCTCTGAGTGGATACACATCCAAAATGCTGGTAATTTCTTGTGGCATGTCCAGCCCACTTCTTGGTAATCTCACCAAGCCAATTGCGGGTGAAGTAAATCCAACCAGACCCTTCTTTGCCTTCCAAACAGAGAGCTTTGTTCTTGGTTGTTTGTTCGAACATATTCAAGATTTGGTTGAACTCTTCAACCGAGGTAGACCTTTGCATTTTTACAACCAAATCAATGCACTTTTTCTTTGTCTCACTAGACCGGAAGGTGTTGGACAAGGCTTTGTCTACACTCTGATACATATGCCATACACAAAGCATATGTTTGTTTTCCGGGAATACTTTATCTAAACCAACTAGTATACCTGTTCCTTTGTCGGTAAGGAACGTAGTGTCCATGGATTGTTTTCCAAGTACTTCTTTCAATGTGTTGAAAAACCACTGGTAAGTTTTTTCGGTTTCATTAGAAACAAACGCCATTGCAACAGGAAAGTTCTTCAAACTCTCCCCCCTACGCTACTGACACCTTGTACACAGATCAGAGGCATCTTCAGGTTGTTCATGCTATAGGTAGCATCGATAATAAAAACGTCGCTGCAGACATTAGCTCTATCTAACATGCCATTTTTTTTTGTGAAAAATACGGAGCTAAGTCTGTTTGTTCCAACATCGAATTTATATCTGGTAAGATATCCAGCACTTTCGATTTTTTTAATCAAATCATAGCCGGCGTTGTCTACGTTCAAATTGATTGGCTTTGTCTTCCCAAACCAATTGCTGGCATCTTGATAGGTAACTTTAGGGATATTGCTCCCTTCAAACAGAACTGTCTTTCTTATTTGCTTCATGGGGATGTTAGCATTTACCATAGCGTTTACTACCACCAAGTCATTTTCAGTAATCAAAGTCTTCTTAAACTCTGGAGTGATTTTCATTGATTTAAAGTCTAAAGGGTGGTTATGCACCAAATTTCCAGGAACATCAGCGTTTACAATCTTGTATCCCCCAACTTTATTGGTGAAGGATGCTTTGACAATGTAAGGGCAGTTTGTTTTGAAGGTAGCATGCAATCTTTTGGAGTCTGCCCCGAGAGTTCGCTTATCTGGAGCCCCAGAGTACTTACAAGCAACATGAACTCTTTTATGTGTCTGGTTGAATTCTTTTTTCGTAATAACAGTAGCGAAGTTATTACGAATACCATACTCCTTAATAACATTTACAACTTCTTCTGCAGTCTTGTATCCATTGACAGGAAATACAGGAAGAGGTTCCTGGACAGTGTAGGTCGTGTCATTCAAATCAAACACGTTTTGATTGTCTGTGTTCATTTCTATATCTGATAATATCCGTATTAATATGGGCTTTTTTTTCGTATAAAGCTTCACATAAATAAACGTAAAACTTACAAATTATACAAATTTCGTCAATGTTTATTTTATGGATTTGGAAAAGGATTTTTTTTATAACTGGGTGTGGAAACAGTAGTACCACACCCGTATATTTCATATTCCGCTGTCAGAGTCGGGAGCCGGTGTAGAGTAATGGGGTTTATAGACAGCGATTTAATAAGTAGTTTAAGTGAGCACCACGCAGTAGGTTGCGATCCGAGTGTGTAATAAAATAGGGCTTTTAACTAAGCGATATGGGGTTCTGATCTTAATAAAAGAGCAGAATGGGAGACAAAATGGAGTAGATTTAACTTATATACTTTCGATATTCTTGGTACTTATTGTACAAGATGATGAAGAGTATGTGATTATTGAGTGTAATTAAAGACAAGACGATGGTATTCTTAAGGACAGAGTCTTTAGATGATATCGAATGTGCAAAATTAACAGAGTAAATAAACTATTCCTTATGGATTGAATGAATTCCAAAAGGATGATCTTATATACGAAGTTAGATAGATAATAAGTCGATATTCCGTTCAAAAAGAAAGGATGATAACAATATTATATTTGACAGAGTCACTTAAAGATGGTATTCCGTTATGGGGATGATATCTTTAAGAGTTAGGTTATAAATTAAACTATTCTTTAGGCTGTAAGCTTAAAGATGATCTTAATAAATAGACAATGGGGTTTGAAAGGAGGTATTCTTATGGCTTGACAGCTGTAAGATGATTCCGTGACAAAGAAGTGAGTTTTACATGAATTATTCCGTTTCCAAAGGAAAAGGATGATCTCGTATAAAGTAGTGAAGAAAAATAAAAGAAAAATAAAAGAAAATGAAATAAAAGTTTTAAGAAGTTGGGGTTGAGGGTTTTGGTTTTTTAGATTTTGTTGGTTGTTTTAGTTGAGCTAAAAAGATTGCTGAAGTTTTTATTAAAGAGAGAAAAAAAACCGACCTCCGGCCGGTTTTTTAGGCGTTCTTCAGACTGCCGATTGGGACCTGCGGCCCTCTCGTGGGACTGAGGTTTTTGTTTATTTGCCGTTCGGGACTTACAGCCCCTCACTCACTAATCAGTTAAAATCATGTAAATGCTTGTAGTATGGATGCTGTGTTTGCCCGTTCGGGACTTACAGCCCCTCACTGACTAATCAATTTAAATCGTGTAAATGCTATAGTATGGATACCATGATGGCCGTTCGGGACATACAGCCCATCACTCGCTTATATAATCAATTTTTTAAAAAAAGTGTGACTTCTGAAAAGTGATGATATTTTTAAGCACTGTTTTTGTTGGACATAGTATTTTTTTTAACCCTTTTCCCTTAGGCTTTCTAACTCCGTAAATACTCCGTGAAGAACGCCAAAAAGGGGGGTTATTTATATGAGTTTTAGTATTAGAGTTGAGGCTGATATTTGGTACGAAGAAACGGAGTCACGTTAGATCACCGGATCTTACATACCTTCCTCCCCACTAAGAGTAGGTATCCTACTGAAGAAAAGAAAAAGGGGTAGTGTAAAGAAATAAAGAGAAAAAAAAAAAAGAAAAGGAAAAGGAAATAAGAAAAGAAAAGAAAAGAAATGAGAAGAAAGGTAAATAAAAAAAAAAATAAAAATAAAATAAAAAAAAAAGAAAATTTGAATGTTTTGATTGGTCTCAGGGTTTGTTGTTTGCACTAGGCTTGGCCCCTTTCCTTGGTATGTAATGAATCGAGTTGGGTTGTGATTTGGGTTGATATTTCTGCTTGTGTATTCTGGCAGTTTGCTTTGGCGTTTGATTGTGGAATTGTTGAGCCTTTTGAGATACTTTCTCGATCATTTTCTTGGAAGTGAAGACACTTTGATGAGCTTCTTGATAATCTTTGTTGTACAGGATTGAAAATCCATCTTTTTTTATGTTTTTGTGGGTTAATTTGGCGACTTTAGATATTTGCTTGTTGATTAGCCGCTGTACTTGTTTCTGGGTTTTATAGAGGCATTCCAATAGTTCAATTTGGTCCGACTGGTTTAGATGGTCCAGAATGGAGGTAGCCATCAGAAGGGTGGTAGTACCGCCACCTAAAAGGATAGGAGGGAGAGGGGGAGTGTCCGACAAGGTTTGAGGGGGGCTGCTTGGGGGAGACTCGACCAGGAATTGGTCGAGGAATTTTTGGTTCTGGGTAATTGGATTCATTGAATTTGTTAGTTTCTTGTATGAAGGTGGGCAACGATGGAGCTTTATATATTTTTAATTTATTGCCGTGGATGTGTCGTGGTACCAACTCTCCTGTTGTAGATTTGATAATATATGTGCTATTTGGGAATACTTGATGTATATAATACGGACCGGTATACCTGTCGTTGAGTTTTTCGGAGGACTTTCGAGATACAATGTCATTGTACATGAGTACAGTTTCACCTATCTTGAATGGGAGTTGATAACCGGTTTTTTCGCTGGCTATTCTTCGTTCCACATACTGTGCCTGGGACTTTTGTGCTCTCAATATGTTCACATGGGCAGCTGATCGATGCGCCTCAGTGTCAATTAGACCTTTTAAGAATGCTTGTACAACCATATCGTCAGAATAATCGAGGACAGGAGATTCTTCAGATACTTGATTCACCACGTTTTCAAACAAGGTCCTTGGTTCTCGACCATATAGTAACATGAAAGGAGTTCTTTGAGTGGAAGCTTGGGGCATGGTTCGATACGCGAATAGTAGCATGGGCAGATACAAATGCCAATCTGGTTTGAATTCTTCAGGCATCATTCTCATGGCCATACCGAGTGTTCTGTTAAAGCGTTCTACCAGACCGTTACCAGAAGCATGGTATGCTGAAATAAACCTTTGTTTTATGTTAAAGTCGGCGCATAGCTGGGTCATGATAGTATTCGAAAAGGGGGAACCATTATCAGTGATAATTACTTTGGGTGTAGAGTCTCGGGTTATCACCTCTTCCACAAAGAAGTTGGCGATTTCGATGGTGTTCGTCATAACCAGGGGACGAGCTTCTACCCATTTGGAAAAATAGTCAATTGCTACTATTATATATCGATGCGTTCCCCGGGATTGAGGCAGATGGAGTATGTCCATGGCGACTTGATGAAAAGGCTCAATGGGTACTGGAATTGGATGAAGGGGTTCTTTAAGCATTTCCTTTCCTTTCATCTGGCATCTTGGGCAGGTCATGATCCATTGTTCGATATCCCGTTTCATTGAGGGCCAGTAGTATCGTGAACGTATCTTGAGATATGTGTTTTTGAAGGCAAAGTGTCCTCCGAGTTGGCTATCATGAAACATAGAGAAGGCTTGTGTAGCGTCATTTGTGTTCAATACCTGACGAGTGGGAACGCCTTTCTTGTACAACAATCCTTGATCACTAAAATAATTTGACCAATTTTGGCGAATAAAGTTTCGATGGCTGTCGGTGATATTTGGGGGGTACTCCAATCTTTCCAAGTAATAGATTAATTGTTGATAGTTATCGTTGTTCATTTCGAAATATACAAGAGAGAAAGAGTTCAGAATAGAGGATCTAATTTCGATGATCTTTTTATTTAAATCAGGATATCCAATTTGACATTACTGTCTCATTATAGTTTAACGACAATCACGGTCGGGTGATAGTTTAGAGACATTCCGGTCGAATGTTATATCTAGTATCCAAGTCTTGAGAGGAAGTCCGCGCTATTGTTAGCTCGTCCAGGGCGATATTTAATTTCATAATCGTATTGGTTTAAAGTGGCTATCCAACGGGCTATGATACCAACGGGCCGTTCTTGATTCATGAGACCTTTTAGGCTGATGTGGTCACTGATGATGGTGAATTTCTTACCCAACAGATAATTGCGTAATTCCTTCACAGCCCAAACACAACTGAGGCATTCTAGTTTTGTGATTTCGTAATTCTCTTCGTTCGGTTTCAACGCTCGGCTCATGTATCGTACCGGGTGTTCCTTGCCGTCTTCATCTAGTTGAGAGAGTACTGCTCCTAGTCCATGCAACGAGGCGTCGCAGATAACCAGAAATTCCTTGTCGAAGTCCGGCGGGCGTAGCACAGGTGCCTTGGTTATGTCATCTTTTAACCGTTCGAAAGCGATAGTTGCTTCAGGTGTCCATAAGGTGTTAGTCCCTCTCTTAGTACGAGTTAGCATATGTAGAGGTCTAGCCTTAGCCGCGAATCCGTCTATAAATCTTCGGTAATACGAACATAGACCTATGAATCCTTTTATCTGTGATACGGTATTGGGTCGGGGGAAATTTTTGACTTTATCTATTAAGTCGGGAGAAGTTTCTAAGCCATTCTTGCCCATGACGTAACCCAAAAAGACTAATTTTTCTCTGAAAAATTGGCACTTTTGTGGATTCAGCACCAGTTTTGCTTTTCGGACACACTCAAACACCTTTCCGAGATCTTATAAGTGTTGTTCATCGTTCTTCGAGAATACATTGCAGTCATCCAAGTAAGCTACCACACATTTGTTCATGATGTTTTGGAATACCAAGTCGATTAGCCTTTGATAAGTCATTGGACTTGAGCTGAGACCCATAGGCATACACACGTATTCGAAAACACCAGCACGAGTCGAGAAGGCAGTTCGTTCGATACTTTCAGGGTCCATGGGAATGGCATAGAAAGCGTTGGTCATGTCCAGACTTGAGAAACGTCGATTACCACCAATCGTGTCAATAATGTCGTCTATTCGAGGAATGCTGTAGCTGTCCTTTCTTGTCTTTTGATTTAATTTACGATAGTCCGTTACGAGTCGATAGGTTTGATTGCCTTGTTAGTCCTTTTGTTTCTTTGGTATCATGAGAATTGGGGCGGACCATGGGCTGTTTGAAGGACGGATAATACCTAGATCCAGGTATTTTTTCAACTCTTTCTTCAAAGATACGAATTCGGCTGGGGCCATCTTATACGGTCGTATATTGATTGGATGTATGTCTTCGGTGAGGATAATACGATGTTTGATGAGATCTGTCCTTATCCCAGTCGAATATATCTTGATAGGATGATATTAGGTTGTATAATGATTCTTTAATGGGGTCTTCAATGTCGGTTTCATTTATTTCGATTATTTTCTTCCTTTCCTCGCTTAAGGTGATTGGGTTCGAGGTGCTGGTAGAGTTGTCAAGGTTGCAGAAGGTGGGGTCAAACTCGTAATATTCAATTTCATCGAGTATTTCAACGATGTCCTGTGATGATCTGACTTACTTCTTGATAAAAACCATAATAATAATAACATCAGATACACTTACATCATACATCTAACACTAAAATATTAATATCTCAGCATCACTACTTTATAAAGCAAATACACTTCTTTAGTCTCTACAAGTCCTTAACTAAAATAGTGCAAGAAGACACCGCACTAAAATAGTGTACTTCCATTATGCAATAATTTTATAATTTAAATTCAGACATCTTATATATATCCTTTATTCTTTGACCTTGATAATCCCTAATTCTCTTTTAACTGAAATAAAGCATACCAACAGTCTCAAAGTATTCTTACTTTTGTTTTATTTCCTTTTGTTCTGAATTTCTACTATCTAAAACACCACATGTCCGCTATCTTTGCCAGAGGGGGGATAGTTATGGAATCCGCAGTGTGGTTGGTCAATATCAGTTGTACTTTTGATTGTTGAGGATCAATTATTGGTGAAGGGACATATATGTACTGTAGAAATTCATCTTTTATTTCAATTAAACGGGGGGTTTTTTGTTTGGATAGTGATATAGTTATAGGGAAGCTTGTCATAGCCGGGATAATCGTGTCAGTGTTCTTTTGTTGGATCGTTTGGTGTTGGAAATCTTCACCTATCGTACAGAACATATCATCCTTGATTTCCTCCTCTTGATCATGTTCTTCTTCGTAGTCTACTTCCGAGATCTCGTCGTCTTCGGGGGTCACCTCCAGATACTTTACCCAGTGCTTGCCTGATGGGACTAGTAGACTCTCTGTGGCGGTCAGTCTTTCAATAGAAATAGGGGTGGTTGTAGTTTCCTTCTTATAAGTGACCGTGAGGGTAGTGAGCTCGAAGTTGATCGTGGCTTTCGCCCGTTGTAAGAAATTGTTTCCTAGTACCACAATGAGAAATTCGAGAGTGAATTAAGAATAAAATGTAAAATTTAACAAAGTGAAATTATCAAACTGCAAAAATAAACTAAACTTTATTAAACAAATAAATGGGGGTCTTTATATACACATTATTTCAGACATTGATCACAGATGGGCTGATGACGGTTGTGGGTAGATTTATCCAGATAATACTCGGATGTAATGATCCCATATAGAAAGACCATAATGAGATGTCAATAACAATAACAATAACATTCATTCTTAAACCGTGTATGTCTTGTAGCACAACATTCAGGGGAAAATGTAGTTCTTATTAAAGATAGCTGTGGCACCTCAACGTGGCTGATGTAACCTTCATATGTTTTCATATTATGTTATTATTTAAATGTATGCCTTATACTTGTATGAAGGATGATATGAGATCAAGACTGTACATAAAGTAAATGATCAGTATTTAATATAAAGTACCAATAAGAATTATATTTAGGATTATCAAATGGAAGATTTAAGAAGTGTAGATAGAGTCATATATTAAGTATATAGCCTCGATCACGACACACAAGAGATGGCGAATTGGGGATGACTTCCATAGTGATAGGTATGGTTACGTTATTTAAGGTTACTGGTACATCGTAAATCAATCCCAGCGAGGCCTGCTTAGTCTTATTACCGAGGGTGAATATCGTTGAAGAGCTAGCATCAATTTCCAGTCCTAGTTGTTCCATTGCTTCCTGCGACATGATTGTTCGGCATGCTCCACAGTCAACTAAGCTGTGCTGAATCACTTTGTTGTTGATCTTTATTTGAGTGAAGGCAGCGGTGTTATCAGTACCATCGAGATCCATGGTGGCGACAAGGTTTAATTCTTTGGTTTGCAGTGTGCTGGCTATATTAAATTTGGACACCTTTCGGATTCCTTCCCTGACTGTCTTCTTTAATGATGGAATCAGATAGAGTAGTTGTTCGAATGTGATTTTAGGTTGTCTTTGTAACAAGTCCTCTGCTGCGTCGTATTTCACTTCTTTGATTCGAGTGTTAATCGAATGTACCGTTTTGCGAGGGGGATGTTCATCGACTTCCATAGGTTCTTGCGTACTTTTTGGTGGTGGCGGCTTGGTCAGTACTTCTGGTAACTTGATTGGGTCAGGTTCTTTGTTGCGGTTGTTTTTGTGTTCTGCGTATTCCTGTTCGAGATAGGGTCCAGTGGCAGGAGTACGACTTTCGGGTTTAGAGCGGGTAGCGACGTGTATAATGTGGTGAGGTAAAGGGGGTACAGGTTTTGGGGGTGGGACGGTATCCAATTGCCTGTTTACAATTGGCCGTTGCAGTTTTTTGACTCTTCAGCGTATTCGGGTAAGAATTGGTCAGTTGGGCGCTTCGGATAGTAGTAATGGCCTTCAATCAATACCGGAGCATCAATCACTTCAGTTGTTATAGTATTGAAGCTTTGGGCTTGGACCACTGGATGGTTTGTAGAGGGCGGTAAGGTGGCTGGTTGTTGGTATGTACCATTTCTAGGGGGATTAGCGTGATTGTTTGGTCTATAGTTATTCAGGTGGGGAATGCTTCGATGATATGTTGGGACATAATTAGGTTGTCCATAGTTATTGCCTGTTGTTGGTTGATTGGATGATTGAGGTCCCTGGGTATTACCTCCATGATGGTGATAGTTATTGTTAACATAGCCTTGTGATTGGGGTTGGTAGTTAGGATTATAGTGCTTTCCCTTGTAGTTAGGGTTACTGGAGTTGTGAGATGAGTTTTTCTCTTCGTGCTTCGTATTTTGGGCGGCCTCCTTCTTATTGTTCTTTCCTATCTCTTCTTTGATCATAGTCCTTATAGCCTTTAATAGCTCTTCTGGAGATAGCGAGGAGGTAGGTTCTTTGGCAGGAGTAGGATTCGGGCTAGCTTCGGTAGTGCTAGAGGTTTTTGTATCAGGAATGTTTGCTTGTTCATTGTTAGGTGGTTGGTTATAGCGAGGGAGATATGGCGCGTCGAAAGCGTTGTAATAGCCTTCTGCATATTTCAAATATTCGGCATGGGTTTGAGCTCCAAGTGACACACAATGTTCATATACCTCTGGGTGCATCCCCATGATGAATCTTGGCTCTACCATCTTGCAGTCTGTAATACCAGCTATTCTGGCTGCTTCTACCAGTCTGGCATCAAATTCCCTTTGGAGATTCTCTTGGTCCTTGAGTCAACCGGTTGAAGGTTACATAGTGCTTAACGGTGAGGTTACCAGAGTTTACATATTTCTCCTGTAGTATTTTGATCATATCTACGAAGTTTTCGGCGTAGCTTCCTGTTTCTAAGTCCATGGTGAAGAAGTGGTTGAAGGTGATCTTTGCTTGGCCAAGTAAAAGGGATTTTAAGTGGAATATTTTTTGCTTTTCTACTGTAATGTTTCTTATACCGAAGTATTCATACAGAGATTCGATGAAATATTCAAAGTCTTCTCCTTCAGTTCCTCTGAAGTTGATAAGTTTCTTGGTGGAGGAATAGTTCTCCATTGGTTGAGCCAACACAGTATTTTCGTTGTTCCTTTAGATAATAAATAAGGTCCCTGTTAGTGAGCACCACGTGTAGAGTAATAGGGTTTATAGACGGCGATTTAATAAGTAGTTTAAGTGAGCACCACGCAGTAGGTTGCGATCCGAGTGTGTAATAAAATAGGGCTTTTAACTAAGCGATATGGGGTTCTGATCTTAATAAAAGAGCAGAATGGGAGACAAAATGGAGTAGATTTAACTTATATACTTTCGATATTCTTGGTACTTATTGTACAAGATGATGAAGAGTATGTGGTGTTACACGGCACTTTTTGTCGTTCTGACCTAAGTTTTTTTTTTTTTTTTGACTGCTTTTTGGTCCTTTTCTTATAAAAGGACCATAAAATTATTTAATAAAATCATTAGTTTGTTCTTTACCTTAATCTGAATAAGTCTTAATACTTTAAGTCTTTGTGATTTTGTATTTATTATAATTGCTTGTAATTTCCTTCTGTAAAATCAGCATTGTAGCTATTCCATTACGTATTTAACTATACTCCTTCGAATACCACTTTTATCTGATTTCGTCATATAAATTACCCTATTATATAAATATATTTTATCTTTTTCAGTTGACAACTATATAGTCTGGTGCTCACTTTTTAAGAACTTTTATCTTAAACCTCTATTTTTATTTTCTTCTATTACTTTTACTGAAACTTGCCAGTAACATTTTGGTGCTCACTAACAGGGTTACATCTTTTTAAACTACTCTATATTACATTACATAATCTTAAATTATGTCTGGTGTAAACGAAAATACTGTGTTGGCTACTTATCAACACCTCTCTCAAGACTCTCCCTCTGGTGGACAGCGTAACCGATTAATTGAATTTCACGGTGATGAAGGCGAAGACTTTAGACACTTCAAGAAGAAACTTGAATCCTTCTTTGCCCTTTCTGATATTACCAAAGAACACCGAAAAATTCTCATTTTACAAACTCAACTTCAACACGGCGCTCGTATTTTCTTTGATTCTTTATATGAAAATAAGCCCGATCCTACCCAATGTACTTATAAGGAATTTGCTGATGCCTTGTATGACGAATACATTACCCCCCAATTGATCCGTCGTTATCAATTAGCCTTTAACAGCATGAGTCAAGGTTCTGAAGAACATCCGCGTGTATACTTAGCTCGATTGAAAGAAGCTGCGATTCTCGCTGAGATTTTGGACCCAATTCAAGTAGAAATTCGTTTTCAAACTGGATTGTTGCCAAACATCATCATTCAATGTAAACTTATGGGTGCTAGCACTTTTCATGAATACTTAAAATGCTCTGATGGTTACTGGGATGCCTTTCATCAAAAGTCTATTACTATTGTTGACAGTCCTTTTAACGTCCGGCCTACAATCAGCCCTTCGATTTCAATCCCTAACGTCAATCGTACGGGACCAAATTCTTCCAACATTGTTCATGCTCCTGTTAATTTTTCCCCCATTAATCCTAATTCACTTAATGTGGAATCTCCTACTATTACTAAGTTAACTAATAGTATGAATGCTTTACAATTGAATCACATGGAAAGTAATGATGTAAACGATCCCTCTGTGCCCAATATTTCTAAGATTGATGACGTAAAGTTTGAAGAAAAACTTCGTCTCATGGTCGATGAAAGTATAAAGCGTCATTTTTCCAAGTCTTACAATAATAATAATGGTGAACGACGTGGTAATACTCGCAACAATTATCGTAACAATTACAATGACAATTACCGCAATCATGATAACCATCGTAATAATGACCAATATCGCAATAATGATGGATACCGCAATCAAGAGAATTATCACAACAATTATGGAAACAACTATCAACGTAATCACAATGATCAACACTCACGCAATCAGAATGAACAACCTCATCGTCCTGATAACTATCGTAATAACCATCAAGATAACGCTAGATCTGATAGACCGAGCTCTAACAATTATCGCAATGGTCAACCTTCAAAAAACTAATTGGGTCGATTGCTGATACTAATGGTCAATCGAAACACCCTCCCAACAACAAATCCATTAATAACCAAGCCCTACATGCTATGGTTGAAGATCAAGAAAATTACTACGAAAATTCCAAAATCAATAACAACCACAATGATTACACTCCATTCATTCCTAAAGAAAACTATGACGCTCAAGACGATCTCTATGCAGCTATTAAACGAAAAGATGCTCCCCCAACTGTTCTTCCAGCTACCAAGAAAGGAAAATCAGTACATAAAAAGGGACCTATCATCCGAAATAACTCTGAGTTGAGAGCTAACACAATCAAAACATTCACACCCATGGACGACATGCAATCTATCATCCTCCTACAACTATGGAAACTGAACATTTGAAACATCGTGTTACCTTCGAAGATAATGATCACATGGAATCTATTGCTACCTTCAAGGCCCCTACTTTGACAAGTGCTTACGTTCCTCAAGTTCCAGGTGCTCCGCTCTTGAAGAAGAAGAGAAGGCCTACTATTAAACCTGAAATCACGTATGATATAAGCCAAGATGTTTTGAACCAAACCGCGAACATCAAGGTTAAGGAACTTACTGCCATCAATCCAAAATTAAAAAGACAATTAATTTCGACATGCAAGAATTCCGCTATATCATTAGACCCTAACATGCAACAAGAACCCTTAAATTTCATTGAAAATCTTGAGATGAAATGGACTCCACCGCTGTTTACTCTCGTTTTGCTATCGATAAGTTAGAAATCAAGACTCTCATTGATTGTGGTGCATCCAAAACTTGTGCGACTAAAGAATTAATGGATTCTCTCGGATATCAAATTGACGCTGCCTCCTCTAGTGTATTTACCTTGGGAAATGGCATTAAGCAAGCTTCTTTAGGTATCATTTATGATGTACCGATCAATGCTGGTGGAAAGTTAATCATCCCTTGTACTGTGGAAGTCTTACCAACCTCCCCGATTCCCTTAATCATTGGCACGAACTGGTTATCAAGATCGAATGCAGTTATTAGTTTTCCCAAGAAATTAATGAAGATTCAGTATAAGCAAAAGAGTGCTGATATTCCTATCCATTTTATTAAGAAAAAGGACTCGCAATCTCCATTACCCTTAACTTCGGCTGGTGTCTCAAATCCCTCAACTACAACTACAACGGATATTGATAGTACCTGATGAAAGCTCCGACAGTGAAGACTACTCCACTGACAACTCTAGTGATGAAGATGAGATCATGTATCGTGAAGTCCATGATGAAGATCCCCTGGTGGAGCATAATGACCTTTTTATGCTGGAAGATGATGACATTGAGAGCGCGTTAAGATTGACCGTTGATGAAGATGAATTCATACTGTCTAATTCAAAAGATCCTTGTAAAATTTTGGCTAAATCACAACGAACCTTTTGTATTGATAAGCCTATTGAAACAAGTTCTGAATGTATTTATGACTTTGAACTAATTCACCCCAACCTTGTACAATCCACGCTGCAATATAATGATCATCAGTTCCATTTCCAGGATCTCCCAAATCATTTCCAAATTAGTCTAATCAATCATACCGAAGACCCTATCACCATTGAACCTCAAGCTACCATAGGTAAAATACTACGTTACACTTCGGAAAGTAATGACATTGTGGCGTATGAATTAAACACCATAAGTCACAACAATCACTCCAAGTCTCAAGACCTCAAAACCACTCTGAATGAAGGAGACGAAGCCAAACTTGAAGAAATTAAAACAAAAATTGATGTCGGCAATCTCCCTGACGACTTGAAACAATCATTTTATGCTTTAATTCTTAAGTATCATGAAATTTTTGACTGGAACAAAAATACAATTGGCCGCACCACACTACTCGAACATCGAATAATTACAGAAGATGTTCCTCCAATTCGACATCGTCCATATCGTCTTAGTCCTATCGAAAGCGAATATTTAGAAAAAGAATTGAATAAATTCTGTAAGCTAGGTATTATACGCCCATCTTTTAGTCCTTGGTCTGCGCCTGTGATGCTTATCAAGAAAGCGAAGAAAGCCAATTCAACAATTGATGAATTTCGTTTGGTTATTGACTATCGCAAATTGAACAGTATTACCAAGTTAGACTCTTACAGCCTACCAAGAATTGACGATCTCTTGGACACTCTAGGAAAAGCAACTATATTCTCGGCACTAGATATGACATCTGGCTTTCACCAAATTCCAATGGAGAAAGAAAGTATCGAGAAAACAGCCTTCACTACTAAATTTGGAAATTACGAATATGTAACCTTACCAATGGGTTTATGTAATAGTCCTAGTACCTTCCAACGATTAGTAGAAATTGCCTTTCGCCCTCTTATCAACAAATTCTTAGTTTGCTACGTGGATGATCTTAATGTTTATTCACACAACAATGAAGAACACCTACAGCATCTAGAACAAGTATTTAATTGTTGTCGTATTGCCGGTCTGACATTCAATCCATCGAAATGCGACTTTTTCAAGAGCTCCCTCAAATTTCTCGGGTACATTGTAACAGCTGAAGGGTTACAAACGGATCCCATGAAGATCGAGAAAATCAAGAACTATCCCATCCCAAAATCAATCACCGATATCAGAAGTTTCATTGGTATTGCCTCTTACTATCGGCGTTTTGTCAAGAATTTTGCTGCTATTGTACGACCTTTACATGAGCAAACCAAGAAAGACAATAAGATCCCTTGGAATGACGAAACAACTAAAGCATTCGAAACACTGAAAGAAGCCTTGATCTCAGCTCCCATCTTAACGCGTCCTGATTTTGAAAAACCTTTCCTGCTCATCACTGATGCTTCCAAGCAAGGTCTCGGCTGTGTCCTAACTCAATTAGATGAAGAGGGTCGAGAACACCCGGTATCGTATCTAAGTAGAGGTGTCAAAAATGCTGAAGCTAATTATGGAATTTCCAAATTGGAATGTCTTGCCTGTATCTGGGGAATAAAAATGTGTCGCCCGTACCTATTAAGCCG